TCCAAATCACTGATGAAGATATTGAACAGGGCGGGCCCAAGGACCGAGCCCTGTGGGACCCCACGTCCCACGTCCTTCCAGGTCGAGAAGGACCCATCCACTACCACTCTCTGGGTGCGACTCACTAACCAGTTGGCGACCCATTGGACTGTATGGGTGTCTACGCCACAGTCCCCCAGCTTCCTAATGAGAATGGGGTGAGAGACAGTATCAAAAGAAATAAAAACATTATAAACAGGGAGGAACAAGAATGAATTCTTTTATCAGAGTTATAATTTTAGAATTCAGGTTGGCCCAAATCTTTAAATATGGAAAAAGAAGGCTCAAGTTAATTTAGACTTTTCCAGTCAAGCTGATAGTCTCCACAACAGTGTCAAAGATAACAGCAAGGGATTTAGCTTAATAATTGGGAAGCTATGCCATTACCTTTTTAGAGCAGCTTCTAAATGTTGAATAATTGCTGGTAAAGTTGTTTGATCTTCTGGAAACATGTGTTGCAGCAGATGGTTTCTGACCTACCACTGCCTTTATGACATACTGGAGATAATCCTTCCTTTTTGACCCCTTTTTGGTTCCCTTGGAGAGAACTGTACAGTAACTGGATTTGATGAGGGCCCACCAGCTGTGTTTAATTTATTTTTCATCCCGTGTTTAAACAGTAGTTGTGGGGTATGCTAAATTGAAGTTTCTGAGGAACTAAAATTCATTGGGGAAACATTTAAGGCAGTTGGTGTATGTTACTAACCTTAGGACCAATTCTCTATTTGCTGCTATGTGTGAATTATGTTTACTCTCATTTTCTCTGTGTTGCCAATAAATGTACTTCATGCTTCCTTCTTGTTTGGGGAAAATAATGTGAAGGTTCTTGTTTCCTTTTTTTTTATTTCTGAGTTACTTTCTTATCTTTTCTTTATTTGTGACTTAAGATATGGGCAAAATTTAATGAGGGTTGAGTTCCTGACCCCCTTTTGTGCTTTTGAAAATTTTTCCTTTATTCTAGAGACACAAAAACAATACATCAATTTTGGGAAACCTTCTGCACGTGGAATTAGTTAGTGCATAGTAAGGCAGGGTGTGAAGTTACAGTATAGTAGCTACTTTTTGCTAACTAACCAGGTAAACACTCTCGAGTACTTTAAGAGCGTCTCTGCTAGTAGCTTACATCTCTGAAAGTGGAGTAATCTACCTTGCACCACATTTACACTATGTCTGACCAGAACACCTATTGTTCCCAGCAGGATAACTACACCTCAAGCTTACTGTCCTGCTTCAGGTGGATTGTCTCCTAAACTGGAAATAAGATTTGAGTAAGACAATATTTTTTATTGGACCGGTTTAGAGATGAGAAAGATGCTAGACAAGTGTCTGGGCATGAAATATTTTTGCTCAGGTGTGTGATCAGTAAAGAACCGTTCCTGTAGTGAAACCAAATTATATAAAATGAATAAGACCTTTCAAAAGGGAAGATGGCTGTTTTCACCTGAGGAACAAAGAAAGGCTAGCTGGAAGAGCAGATAAGTTTATAATAAGCCAAAAAATCATTGCCTGTATAAGTCCTTGGTTTTTGCTGTCCCATAAAGCTATAATTTTTAATCCCAGTAGGAATGTCTATATGTGCAATCAGTCACGATTAAATTTACTGTACATTATCTTAATTTTTTGGCAGGTGTCTACACATGCAGAGAACTGGCATTAAAGTTAGTGCCAGTTCCCTCCAGCCCTGCCGTGTCCCTCTGTGGCCACTGGTGGGAGTTCCAGCCTCTGGAGCCAGTTGCCAGCACTTGGCAGCCATCTTTAAAACACAGCTCCCATACTGTGCAGTCCAGGAAGACTCTTCCTGTGTTGAGCCAAGCAGTGTGGCATGCCCCAGCTGCGCTTCTCAGCCACAGCTGCTCCAGCCCCTGGCCCTGGCACCCAGGGCCTCCAGATCCTGCTGGCCTGCCATCATCATCCCACCTCTCCTCATTGGGGACCCAACCTACCCACTACTCCCGTGACTGAGGCCCTATGCCGGCCACCTGGGCCCCCACCAGGCCCACTTTAACTGGTGTCTGGACTGGACTTGCGCCCTGGTTGAGTGTGCCTTCAGCCACCTTAAGGGCTGCTAGCTCTCCCTCACTGTTTGCTTTGAGATGGCCGAAACTTCCCCTGGGTCATCATTGCAGCATGCGTCCTGCACAATATTTGCAATGCAGCCCATGGGGGAAGGGGAAGTGCTCCTACCAGCAGCCTCCATGAACACCTCCATCAGGTGCTGGAGCAGGAGAATGCAGTCCTGAGTCCACTGCTGGCACATATGCCGCATACAGTGGGCTCCAGTGCTGGGTTGCGGTGAGGTGGAGGCTACGTCTTTGCTGGAGCCGGTGCACTCTCCCCTGCATCCAGATGTTGGCCCTGACGAGGCAAGAGACAGAAGCTTTTTGTGAGAGTTTGCAACATTTCAGAGATAAGATGCTCTGCACCAGGGGCTATGCACTCACTGCCCAGCCTTAGATTGGGAGTTGGGCATGCACAGGTGCCCAGGGACCATGGTAAGTCAGGCTGGGCAGACCCAGGCCCAGGCAGCCAATGGCAAAGCCACCCATCCCTGCACATTCTCTTGGGGCTAGTGGCCCGCTGGGTGCTGGTTGCAGGCAGCCTGCCTCCCCCACCTGCTTCCCAGGGTCGGACAGGACAGGCTACTGGCAGCATCTGCTGCTGTGGCTTCAAACCCTGCTCTCCATCCCCCCCCCCTCCCCCGGTCCTGCAGGCCAACCACTCTGCTGAACTGCCAGCCAGCCCATGGCACCCAGGATCAAAGCATGCAGGTCTCCAGGACAACTGGGGTGAGCAGCTGGTCATGCCCCCATCCTCCCCACTGGGGGCCTCTCCAGGGAGGCTCTCCAAGGCTGACTGTCACATGCTGCTGCTGCTGCACCCAAAGCTTGCTCCTGCTGCATGTGCTCTGGGTGGTGTGTGATTAGCTATTTGTGCAGGCTGAGGGGTGCCTGAGCAACTATGCCCTGCTGATGATGATCCTCCTGGTACCCCAGGTAATCCTGGTGTGGGACTGTGAGCTATGACGGTGTGGGGGGCAAGCCTGGGCTGCCCTGCAACCTCCACTGCCACCTACAGGGCTACCTGTGGCAGTGCTACAAGTCCCTGCCCCCCACTGCCAAAAAGGACATCACCACTGGCACTGACACCTTCCTCTGTGTGTGAGAGGCCCATGCCCACCCAGCTGTGGGGACATGGGCTGCTCAATAAACTTTTGAATTGTCTCGCCTCTCTGCGTGCTGTGGGGGAACCTGAGGCCAGGGGAATGCAGGCAGGTTAGGTGGAGGGGCACCACCCCAGAGCACCACAAGGTTCCCACTCTCCTCCTGGCTCCAGTTTGGGTCCCAGGTGGACTTAGATAGGGAGGACATGGTGGTGGTGTGTCCCACACCGGCTCTCTGGGCCTCATCATGGCTTTCCCTGTGTGGCTGGCCCTGAACAGTGGCCAGCAGTGCTCAGCATGGGCATGGCCAAGGCCTGTGAACCACGTGGCAGAGACAATATACCATAGGACCTGCAGAGACAAGACAGACTGCTGGGGGTGAGTAGCAGCAGGGAGCAGGTATGGGCCCTGCTTCCAGAGACAGCCAGCCAGCAGCCCTGGGGAGATCTTGGGGCTGGGCAGGGAGTACGGCAGGCTGTAGCCCTTTACAATACTCACATGTGGACAATCAGCAGTTCTGGCTAGGTGCCTGTGTCCTGTCATGGGGGGCACACAGGGCCTGCAGTGCTCCTGTGCAGAACACAGGCTCTTCCATGCTTCTGTGGTGTGTGTCCCAGGTCACAAAATGGCTGGAGACCTTTATAGCCTGCAGGTAGGTGCTGCTAGAGAGGCAGTCCAGCCTTGGGGCAGGTGAGGCACCCAGTCAGGAGTCCTGGCACTGGACTCAGGCTGGCTCCCTAGTGGCTGGGCAGATCTGGCACTAAACTTAGAGTTATTGAACATTAACTAAATGTGGCTAAATTTGATACCTGTATTTGCATCAACTCTAGTCATGATTAAGGAAATTTACTGTGCAGTAAGGATGTGCATGTGTAGACACTTGCTCATACCGTGCAATAAATTAAGCTAAGGCCCAGCAAAGCACTTCATGTAGATGCAGCCAATCTGTTTTCCAAAGGTATATAAGTTTCCTTTTGAGGACCAAGACTGTGAGGTCACACATGAAACAACTGTTCCATGAGAAATATTCTCTCACTGGTGATTAGGAGTTTCTGTTCCTTTGTCACTTTTTAGAGAATTAGTTTTGGAGTATGGAGATTGTTAAACTCAACACTACCGCTAAATCAGAAGCAACATAGCTGCATTGCCCTAATTAGCACTGTTGAGTAATAGGTCCATTAGCCCATCCAAAGCACTGATAAGCTTAACCTTATTCTTGTTTTCTGTTTTCAATTTTCCTTTGTTTCCTCCTTTTTCTATTCTGAAGAGTATCTGGCTTATATAAATGTATGGCTATCCATTGAGATTAATTCTTATACTTAAATAACTGTTACCATTGGTAACAGATTGAATCTGAGTTTCAGTAGGCTGCACAGTTCATGCTGTTGATTTATCAATGGTGTATTTTAATACTAATGTGAGACAGCATCCAGCATCTGAGTGATCTCATTAGTGATGATTTTAATGCATTTGGCATACCTAAGCAACCAAGGCAGCTTACACATACCTAATTATTAATATACTTTAGTCTTGTTCATATCTGTGCCTAAATCTACATACATGTAAACAGCTGCATTCAGATGCAGTCAGTTCCTGAGGAAAACCTTATTATGGCCATGGGTTTGCTCCCAGCTTAAGGCTTACCTCTTGACTTCTGGTTGGGTTCATCTGTGTCTGATTGCCCTGCAGCCAGCTGAGCTATAGGATATAAGTCTTAGGTGAAATTTGGCTGCCCAGTGCCCTACCAGCCTCCAGTTATTCCTGACTTTTTGACTGTTTTCAAACCCTGTCTCATTGCTCCTGTCCTGATTCCTGTGCTTGGTTAGTCATCAGCAGGGATCCTGGTGTGACAGGAGTGCCTTTTCTGGAGTCCTTCTATTGGTGACCTGGCTCTCCTGTTATGGGCCAACTGCCTGCCTTCTCTCCTGCCATGCCTTCATCTTTATTGATTAATGGATGTAATTAAACAGAAGGCTGCCCATTTTCTGCTCCGCTGCTAGGGGGCGCTATCTGTGGCTCCTTTTCCTCCCCTACACCGCAGCCCAAGCCTCGCAGATGATACTTATGAGGTTTGATCTGTGGCCTTGTTGTAATTTGGCCTTCCCCCTGTCCTCCCTGGGCTTTCCACAGCCCTATCTCGCTCTGCATCTTCCTGGTGCTCAGGCTCTCCGCAGCCCTGTCTGGCACTGCGACTTCACTGGTGCTCGCCGCCCCCTCTCTCTGGGGCTTCTCAACGCCCCCTCTCTCTGGGGCTGGGGTTTCCCACGCTGCTGCAGGTACTCTATGAGGCCTCCTCCATCCCCTAATAGCCTCACGCAAACCACCAGTAAAAGCAAACACAAACACAAAGCCCCTAGGCTATAATAAAAATCCAAGCCGCCCAGCTAAAACATCATTCAATCCCTACCAAGGAATACTCCATCCCATAACAGCATCAGGAGCTGCTTGTGCAGTCAGGCCTCTTTTTCTTTTCTCACTCAGGCAGAGCTCCTTCCCCTTGGCTACCAGCAGGGAACTACTCTCCTGGCCTCAGGCATGGGTTTATGTGGGAGCCAGGCCCTGCCCCTTCCGGTCAGCTGACCAGGTGCAGGTGCAGCCAATTCCTTCCTTAACCGGTTGTCCTGGCAACTGGCACCTGGGTTCCTGCCTCTCCTCTGAGAGTAACAGGCACCTTAGTGTCCTGCTACACACCTTCCCCCCTTAAGGCTCTCGCTCACCCGGGTGGGTCCTCATGTTTGTGGGTACCGCCTTGGTCCTGGGCTTCTCTCGGGCTTTCTTTGGTCACCTGGTAACTCAGGAGGCGGAGGTTTTCAGGTGATTCCTACTTGCCTTTTCCCCAGGGTCACGCCATGTGGGATTTGCTGAGAGTTACCCTGCCACAGGTAATCCTCCCCACATTAGCTGCAGTCATAGTGGAGTCACTGGCCCAACTGTTTGAGTATGCGTGGTGCTCAGAACAGGTCTTGGAGGACTGGAAAAGGGCCA